CCCCCCCCCCCCCCCCCCCCGTCCTTTCGTACTTAACGTAATCCAAATGATGAAACAATTTTAAAATTAGATTTTTAAATTTTTCCCCTTGTATAATCGCCCATCGTTATGTTTTTGTGTATGAAAAGGAGGGCGAAAGCACGGACGGAACTACAAAAGAATGAACTAGCAACGAGGCACAATCTAAAGGATACATGCCTAAGCTTAACCGGTGTCTGAGCAAAGTTAGCTGACAAATCAGTAGCTATAACATAGTTATAATCGTAACAAAATCAGTAGCTAATAATTGGGAAACTCTAACATCTCACTCCTTACAAAACTAAGAACGAACTGTCCACCATGATGGGAATAACAACACCTTTAATACATTTTATCCAATGTGTCTTTGATGTAGTACTTAACCTCATTTAAATATTACTAGTATGTAAAATTTAATTTCGTTGGATAATATTTACATAATCATAATTATATGTCAAACTTTTATGATTCAAATATTTATCCCTATAGTTTATAAATTAACATTTCATTTCCAATTTTATTTTTTATTCAACATACAAACATGTCTGTCAAGTGGAAGTACCCTTCATTTTAGGTCATTTTGTTCGAACCCACTATGGATTGTAAAACTAACTAATACTGCACTTTAAAAAAAATCATTTTTTACTTTGGGATGCATGTATAATCTTTTTTTTTTAATTAATTCATCAATTCATGATATAAAATTTGTCCTTTTAAAACTACACAATAAAAATTAAACTCAACTATTAAAATTACACAATTACAATAAAACTCAACTAATGATCAATCCAAGAGTTATAAACACAGTATAAGTGTGTTTAAATAAAAATTGAGTTTAACTCAACTTACTTTTACTTCAAAACAATAATTTTGTTATTTTTAAATTTGATGCATTGAGAAATAAAAATACATATTTCAATGTTTTGAAACAGATAACTAAACACACCCTATATCGTTCAAAGTGAGCCTCACAAACAATCAGCCTCACGAACAATCAAAACATCAGAAATTCCAACATCAGACTCGAATATTGCACGATTTCTTTCATGTTTAAATGTCAATTGAGTCTTAGTATATCCATGTAAACAAGTCTACTATGTCAAGTTTCGAAGATTAAAAACCACATCTTAAACTATAAAATAATTACTACTTAAAAAGGCCCAAATATTAAAGATAAAGGACTAAAATAAATATTTTAAAAAATAAACTAAAACAACTTTAATAAGATTAAGATTAAATATATATTTTAGCCTAAAATTTATTACATATGTGAAGTAATAAACAATGCACAGTAGATAAAGAAATACAACTATAGTACACGGCACCAACCACACCATTCACAATACCAGAAGCAGTCGCATCAACTTATTCAAGTGACACTAAAACGAGGCGTATAAAAATATTTTTTGCAAATAATTAAAAAAATTCCCTTTTTTGTGGCCATCTTTATCTTGACCTATTTACATCAAAGACACCACGTCTAATACTATATAGGAACGCATCAAGATTGTCAAACAAAATTGCAAGCGTGTAGTTACCTAATTCCCAAAGTGGACATAAAAGCAGATATAATCCAACAGTATGTGCACTTATAATGATTCTGTTACCCTTTCTAAAGGGACGTATATAAACACCTAGAGGTGGCCGAAATACATGAAGGTGTATCAGTTAAAAATTTCCCCTTCTTCCCAGCCTCCGTTCAATAACTCCTCATCTTCATCTGCGGTATACTCTTCCTTGATAAATAAACCAAGCCGCTCCAATGGGCTCTCAAATTTGGGTTTATCCAATGTATCCAACGCAACTTTGTAGCCATTTCTTCCTCCCACAGCCTTATAAGACAGCGTGCATCCACTCAACCTTTCAAGTTCTCTAATAATCTCCATATTATGTTCAATATCAACAGTTCTTTTCATCTGCAAAGGAGATCAAAATTAAATACTCCTTTTGAAAACTATAAAAAATTCAAGTTGCAGAAAACGCATAAATCATGAATAAAACCTTTTCTATTGCAGCTCGTGCAGCCTCTCTTTCCTTTTCTATGCGTTGCCTCAACTCTTCCTCAGCCTTCATTCTTGCGGCAGCTTCAGCAGTTTTAATTTGAGCTTCGATCCTAGCTCTTTCTGTTTAGCAGACAGAATATATCATGAATAAGGGCTAATCAATAAATTCAACTATTGTTCTCATTGACCCAGCAAGAAATGTCACTTCAAATAATCTCCTCATAATTAAAGTATGGTAATCCATAAATGCGATTGCAATATACACTAATTATTTAACGGTACAACATGCAAAGGGAAATGCCAGTAGTTGGTACCACTGAAAAATTATGACATCACAGTTTGACCATATATTTATACAAGCTAAAAGGAAAAACTGAATCTTGATGACTTTATTGTCTTGATCGTAATATTAAATTAAACACCAATTTCTTCATTAATTGACAGTAGATAGTCCCCCAGTTAATATAATCATCAGTTCACGTTATCTTATTGACAACCAACCCAGAAACGTAATACCTGAAATATATTTATATCCCCATATTAATTATTAATTTAATCTTGTATTCTTAAAAAGCCTATTCTATATGCATATTACAATTGTAACTTTTAAACCGCATAACAGATATGAACTACATGAAGCGCCTTCCTGTATAGAAATATTAAGTACAATGGAAAAACATAACAGAGGCAAATGATGTTACTGACAAGCATTCAAAATTCAAAACAAGTATACAGGATATGTTTCTAACAAAAAAGTTTCTAGAGTCTCAAGTAATGGATACAATATTCACCTTCACGCTGAATCCTTTCCAATCTCTCCTTTTCCAGCTTCATTTTTTGATGATTACCTTTATCACCCTAATTAAAAGTGCAATGACAATTAAGAAACCATACAGTATTCAAAAACGCTTTACAGAAGAAATACGACAAAGTACTGCAATCAAGACATCCTTCACATAAGCCTTACTTGCTGAAGAAGGGTCTTTTGTTGTGCTTTCAAAATGGTATCTGCAAAGCGACTTTTAAGCATAGCAGCACGAAGAGCCTTTTTAGGAGACAGCTGTAGAGGCAAAATAGGAGTGCTCCATACTAAAACCAAAAAAAAACATGGTCATTAGCATTATACCAACTCACATACAACAGGTTGCTAACAGCACTTAACTGACTAAAACATATTAGACAGGGAAGCTCACCTTCCCCTGAAGTGGCGTCAGTAGTAGTTACACCCTGAGAACTTGGACAAACATGTTCGCTGTCCAAAGAACTTGCAGTCCCTTCGCATAATATCAACATGAAATACACCAAATCAGCATGAAAGAGAAAGGTAGAAGATAACTTCCCAAGTTTTAAATTCTTCTCACCATCAGAATCAGGATCTGATTTCTTCTCCATAGGAGATGTACATTTAGTCAGGCAGTCCTGGACATGGACAAGATTTTTCTTAGATTTGCAAGCAAAATAAATTTCTAAAAGCTACAACTAATTTGGCTAGTGATATTGATAATACTATCATTAATACTTGTCTCAGAGAATCGGCGCCACTTGCAATTAGGTCCCTTCCTTCATATCCTTCGGATGATATATCTAAATCAGTGCACAAATACAAGTCAATTATGCAACAAATGACACATCAGAGAAGCAACCAGAAGATTTTCAAACTACCTGATTGCACTCGAGTTGAATTGCTAGGAATCACACAATGGCATGTGGTATCGCCACAAATGCTACACTTGCATGTGACAAGACGCAATGAAGAACAGGCCTTTCGTGTGCCAGGAGGCTGTTCCCCATCATGGTTACCTTTGCTGCCTATAGAATACACAGCTATTAGCTCCTTTACAGAGCCAAAAACCTGCACACTACTCTTAATGCATCATACCTTTGCACAAGTCTTTCTCAATCAACTTGCAAGGAATCTGTGACAATTTTGCTGCCTCCACCTACAAACGAAACAACGCCAATATATTGACATTTTTAAAACAATTAAACCACATAAACAAAAGAAATATGCAGCCATACAAAGGAAACCATAAAGAACAAAGTTGGCAGATATCAATTTTATTTCTACAATTCCAGTAAATATATTGTATCCTTGCATATTACAGTAAGGCTCTTCCCCCTCACAGAAAACAATACTTACTCTAGCATCTTTCGCACCCAATGACCTAATCTTATGAATCCCTTTGTGTTCAGATACTTGTGTCTTTCTGGGCAACAATTCTTTATGCTGGAGATGCACCCCATCTAGACTTTGTCTCCCAGTTTCCTTAGTTGTTCCAGTCAAACTTTTACCGTCTTCATCTTCACACTTCCATTTCTTACCAAAGTCTTTCCATTTTCTGTCAAATATTTTTCTGAGTTCATTCGCCATCAAATAAACATCATTGCCAGGAGGATTATATGTCATGGCATTTGAGAAGGTCAGTCTCACATCAGCTGCAACCTCCTCAATGTCAGAATAAAGATTTTTCTCCAGCTTAGATTTAATTGTGCCCAAATCCATTGGATGTGATATGATTGTAAAATAATCTGGAATATTCAACGCTACAGGATCAACAGGTTTACTAAACACCCAACCGTACGAATGAGATATTAAACTCTTCACTAATGTAACACACTGCATTGACCCTTTTCGATCAATCCTCTGCCTTTTCACCTTTTGGCCATCAATACTTGGTGGTGGTCTCCTCTTGTTGGAATTCGACACAGAGGACTTTCCATTTGAATTGAAGCACCTGTTATCATCAATGTGAGACACTTCCTGCCCATACTCACATTTTGCCCCAGAATCAACCTCTATCCTTTTAGTTGAGAACTTGATCTTCAATTTTGTACTCGGTACTATAGTTTCTGTGGCAATCATTGTGATGAAAAAATACAGGCGGTGCAGGGACACCCTCCAAATCTCCAAGCCCGGACAAAACCACAAAATTCCAACTCCTTTGGGACAAAGGAATCAGTCAAGCAAGCAATGCTTCCATCTGAAGAATAATCACCTGCCCACCCCCAAATAGTCACATTAAAAAAATAAAGGAGGTTGCTAACAATCACACGAATAACTTGCGTATTTCACTACCATAAGGAGAGAGGAAAAAATAAATAAAAGCTAACCACCATGCACAAATACAAGACAAAAATCCACTACCAATGGAAATAAAGTGGATTTTTCCAAAAATTGATAAATTACGAATTACAAATAGATCATGTACTGCTAGATATGAAAGGGGGAAATCTTCCACAGCAATTAATAATTTTCCCCCAAACCTGAATTTTTTGAAAGAATTTAATACAGACTAAGAGTAATTGGATTCGATTAAAGGACGTGCATACGTCTCTATTTTCCCCGCCCCACCAATTTCAGTAAAGACGTGGAAGCTATACAAGGCAGCTTCTAATATGACGTGAATAATTGCGTCAGCGAATTCAATCCAAACATGAAAGTAATTCACCAAAAAGAAAAGAAAAATTCAGGAAAGCAATTGGAGAAGGAATAATAACAGCCCACACAATTAACACCGAACAGTGATACACGAAACATATCATGAAGCTCGTCAAATCAACAAAGAGAAGCAAAACTGAGGTGAATAAGGAAATAAAAAAGAAAAGAGGAAGAAAGCGAATTAGAATTATGGAAAGGAGAATACCTGAATTGCATGAGAGAGGGCTGGGAAGCCCCTCTCGCAGATCGACGCGAAGGAAGAAGAAGAAAGAGTGGCGCTGCAAAAGACACAGTGTGTGCGTATCAGTGTGGTTTCTAGGGTTTTTACTTATCTACGCCTTGACTTTTCCTTTTCCTTTTCCTTTTATTATTTTTGGATTCGCCTTTTTTGTTTTATTTCTTGCCCTTTACTCCACCTTTTTTTTTTCTTTTATAATTTACTGTATTCAATTTAATATCTATTATCTATTTGGGTGCCAATAAAAAAGGAAGCAAAATATTGCAATTGTATTTGTTCCGATTTGATTTGAGAATTGAGAGCATGGAAATATCTAGAGAGGAGACGATACAAAGGCAAACCTTTGATAATGACATGAACGCTTTCAGATTTGGGCTTCCTCGCCAGCCTGGAAACTCAATGTTATTGTATACCGGTTATGGAATTAATAGCGTAAAGACACCGATTGGATATTTAACCAATATTTTATTTCTTTCTACACCAAATATTTAATCTTGTTTAAGCCATAGTAAATATATATCAAAATATTTAGTTCTTTCTAAAAGTGAGTAGGATAACAGAAGAATAAGTTACTAATAATGAAAAATATATATACAGATCTCTCTCTAAAACCTCAGAATTTATGAAAAAAAAAATTATTTCTCAATATTATTTAAGGTCAAGTAACAAATCAAGAAGATAAGTAACAACTTTTAAATGACTAAGTTAAAAAGATAAGATAATATTTGGTCTAAAATACCAAGTTAACAAGAAAAAATTTAATTCAAAATAATTTTAATAAGCCACTAAAATATTTTTTTAAATTACAATCAAATAAAAAACATTAATATTTTTGAAATTCACTCAAATATACAATAATATTCCACATATTTCAAAAAGATTAAAGAAAAAGTTTTGAGAAATCTAAAGAATTTTCTCGTTTTTCATCCTCTTAGATGTAATACATTAGGGGTGTGCAAAAAATCCAAATTGATCCGAACCGATCCATAACCGAACCGATCCATATTGAAAAATCTGATCCATTTTGAAAAAAAATCCGAACCGAACCACTTTATAAAACCGGTTCAGTTATCCGATCCATTTTTACAAAGTGGATCGGTTCGGTTCGGTTTGGTTTTCTAAAAAAACCGATCCATATGTGAGTAAAAAAGTGGATAACTGCACCGCACCGAACCGATCCAATTTAAAAAAAACCGATCCATATTTTAGAAAAACCAAACCGATCCACTTTATAAAAAATGGATCAGTTAACCGATCCACTTTTATAAAACGGTTCGGTTCGGTTTGGATCGGTTTTTTCAAAAAACCGATCCATGAACACCCCTATAATACATTGAACCTAATGTAACAAACTATATGAACCAAATCTAAACCAATAAGAATTAACACAATGCAATTGATATAGTAAGTTATATGAACCAAAGACACTTGACATATGTTAGAGGTCTATCAATCACACTACACCCTCATAATCATTATTGTGTGTTTGATAAGTTATGTGCGTGCTCAATATTCATACGTGCCATAGAGATATTGTCAAAATCTCATGTAAGTAACCCCACCCGACATTCATATAAATGATTTTATGAAGTGTATGTCGCAAATCATACGTCATTTATAAGGGATGTTAAACTATTAAAAGTTTTATAAGTTGTCAAGCTTTCTCATAACCTTATAAAGCTTTATTATAAACTTTTTATCCTCGCATTAATGGAGTTCTAACACTTTTTTCACATCACATGAAGAGACTAAAAATATTAAAATTGATTAAAATCAATTTAGTGTTAGTAGAACTAACAAGTAATTTGTTCTTACTCATATGAACCTTATTCATAATATTTTTAATCACAAAAGTTAGGTAACCACCACTTGTTTGTTTTCAAGTAACCTAATAAATTATTGTTCGCCTTGATTTTTAATATAACAATATATTCCTTGAGAGTTTAAGTCAAATGATCGATCAAATTCATTATTGACTTCACATGATTAATAGATTTTAATCTTTCTAATTAAGCAATTGTTTTAACACGTTATTTTCAATGTTATATTCTCAATAGAATATTTACTAAGATTTTTCAACCACTCAAACTCATAATCAACCATCTCATGAATAATAAACTTTGACTCAATAATTATTTATTTGGTTGATCTCAAAATAATTACATTACAACTAACTTTAGTGACATAACTACTATTGAATTCTGTCTCATTTTGATCAATAATTTAATTAATCATCATTATATTTCCAATACAATGGAAAATTCGTCGTGTTGAATACCATTAATTTATGGTATCTCTATAACATTTCATGATATGTAAAAATTTATAATACGAAGAATTTCACATTAACACTATAGTCAAATAAAAAAGAAAATTTTTACTTAGTTCAATATTTCATGTTATAAATGATAAATGCTTTCAAAAGTTAAATTGGAGAACTTACATTTCAAAAAGTCGACAAAAGTTTTGCCTCATAATACTAACTAAAAATTACAAGTTATAGATACTATTATCAAGTCTTTCAAATCTTTTAACATTGTTCTTTTCAAAAATCATTGTCACAAACAAAAATATACACCAAAATTCTTAAACTATGATAAGATACATTTAATGTCTCAACTTTTAAAACTTGGCATTTTTTATATCATATCATATCTCAATTTCAAAGGCTCACAAAAATTGAAAGTTTAGTTCAGTCTAAGAATTATGTATCAAAATCAAATTTAAACTTGACATTCGCTTTATTAAAAAATCTTAAAACTTCCATTCCTTTTTAAAAAAAAATATCAACATAAATCTTACCAAAGTCTTCCCATTTTCTTTCAGATATTTTCTGAGTATATATATCAGCCATCAAATAAACATCATGCTTAGGATGATTATATGTCATGGCATTTGAGAAGGTCCCTCTCACATCAGCTGAAAACTTCTCAATGTCAGAATAAACATTGTTCTCCAATTTAGATTTAATTGTGCCCACTATACACAGATAACATATACGTATTTCACAACCATAGGAAAAAATAAAAATAAAAGAAGAAGAAGAAGAAGAATGAAACCACTGTACGCATATACAAGACAAAAATTCACTACCAATGGAAATAAAGTGTTTTGCAAAAATTGATAAATTTCGAATTACAAATAGACATTGCACTGTAAGATATCGACAACAATTTTGTAAGAATTGCATCCAGATTAATGTCTAGCGTGATGTGCATGTCCTTATTTTCACGCCAATTTCAGCAAAGGCGTTGATAATATGCAAGGCTGCGTAAGTGAATTCAATCCAAACATGCACGTAATTTGAAAAGAAAAAAAAAATTAAGAAAGGAATTTTAACGTCTCACACCATTCACACCAAACAATTATTAACGAAACATGTTTTCAGGCACAGAGAGAGAACCAAAACTCGGCTGAAAAGGAAATAAAAGGAAAAGAAGAAAACGCGAAATTAAACGGATCGAGTTCAGCATTAAAATAGAATTAGGGTTTGGAGGAGAATACCTGAATTGCATGAGAGGGCTGGAAAAATAGTGCGTGTGACGAGGGGTTGGAAGCATACTCACTACAACATAGTCGATCTATTTCAATAATTTTATACCCAATACTAAAATTTTGAAACATGAATAAATTAGTTATGAGATACAAATCTGGTATTTATGTCAATCAATATTATACACCGTGTGATTTTCTTTTAGTGAGTGTTTGGTATGCAAAATGTTTTTACTTTCTTTGAAAACCTTACATCAAAAATATCTATTTCTTTAGTAGCTACTAGCAGAAAAAATACACTCCGTGCCTCCATTGTATTAAAAGAAAAAAATAAAAAAATAAAAAATAAAAAATTACTCATAAAAAAAGTAATTATTGAAAAATAAATAAAGGATAACATGGTTCATGTAAAAATAAAAATCAAAAGTAGTTATTAAAAGTGGTATTCCCTTTATATATTAGTATAGATTCATTAGTTTCAAGTTCTTAAATTTGATTAAATAATATTTTTTTCTAATTTTTTAAAATAAAAGGGTATAATGGTTAAAAAAAAGTAGAGACTAAGATAGTTACCAAAAAGGGTATCCCCTTTATATATTAGTATAGATTTAAAAAAAATCAATAATATAATTTTTTATAACCATTTTTATCCCATTTTTAAAAACAAAATCTTATGAAATTGAGAATCCAACTTAGCTAAGGAAAAATTTTAATACATATAAAAAGATAACAATATCTTTTTTAAAAAGAGAAAATCTCTCTCTCACTCTCACTTTTCTTCTCTCCCTTTTTCTCACTCTTATTCAAATTCTCTCTTTGTCTCTCTCACTCTCACTCCCCCTCTCCCTTTCTCTCCCTCTCATACCTTTATTTCTCTTTTTTTCTTGTATATTATTAATTATTGACATTGTCAATTTTAATAATGTTATTAAATTCTATTTTGTTTATACAGTTTAATAATACTTGTAAAAAGTATTTTGGAAAATACTTTCTAAAAGTATGTTAAAAACACAATTTACAAAAATATTTTTCAAAACACTAATTTTATTATTCCAAAAAGTATTTTCTTGAATGCTAAAATTATTTAAAATATTGAAATGTTGTACTTTTTAGATGTGTAAAAAAGGGAAAGTGCTTGAAAAAAAAACAGATATTTGGCTTAACACTTTTGAATTGTTGACAAAGCCACATGCTTATAATATTGTAGGATACTAGTTCTACATCTCATATGCGTGTGAAAATTAAAAGAAGGAAGGAATAGGGTTGAAAACTAAAAAAGAAGGAATAAGAGAATAATGTAAAAATCAAAAGAATTAAAACTACTAAATAGAGAAAAGAAGAGAAAGTACATGTAAAAATTGAAAGAAAAGGAAAGGAAATGTGTGAAATTTTTTTTTTAAAAAAATACCAAATTAAACGTTAAAGGAGTGAAATTAAAAAATATTTATTAAAAAAAAACAAACGAAGTGTACTCATTAAAAAAAAAAAGTTGTATATATCATCAACTATTTATTTAAACAGTGGACAATGTCTTGCAGTCGTGCTTTCAGATTTGGGCTTCTTCGGCCCTTTTCAAATTCTTTGTACCCAGCATGGCAAATTAGCAACTCCTTAAG